AGTGGAGGTGGCTGTGGTACAACTGCGCGCACTTGATGTCAGGTTGCTGAACCAGTCATTCCCAACCTGTTTTATGTTGCCCTTTCCTTACAATAGCTTGGCATATAAACCTTCCTTTCATGTTCAGTTGGAGTACGCAGAGCCCGGAATGCCTGTGGCCAAACCTGATTTTTTTTCCTGTTTTTTCCCTTCTTGTCTTTTCCAAGCATTCTTGTCTTTCCCAGGAATTTTATCCCATTTTTAATTTTCATTTCCTATCTACTTTAATTAACCCCACCCTTCCAAGGAAAGCCAGGTGGGGTTGTCTCCACCGGGCTGTATGAGCTGCATTGCCTTGGCAGGTTTGGGAGCCAGGGGAGCAGAGAAGAGGTTGCAGTCATGGACAATGGAGCGGCTTCCCCAGAAAGCGCCTCATGCAGCATTGTGAGGGGTCTGGTCTGAGAAAGGAGAGAAAATATGGGAGGAATAAATGCAGCAAGTGGGTACTACCTGGAACGAAAAGTAAAATAAATTACTGGGGACTTTTAAACAACTGTTTGCAACTTTATGTGGAAAAAACCCTGTGGTGGTCTCTAAGGTGCAAAATACATGCCCGGCGTGGTATCCTAACTGAAGTACTATAAATGATGCACGATCTGAAAACTAACTCCCTCTGTTGTTGATTTTTTTCTTTAAATTGGATGTTTAGACTTACAACTCCTATTCAAAGTAAACTTGCATGTGCAGGATACAGAGATATTGTAGAAACAGGGTGTAATGGCTTTCAAAAGAAAAGGTTCCTGCAACTTTAATTTTAGTACAACTAACATTTGATTGAACAACTAGCCATCCTAGATTCAGTTGAGCCTATTGAGCCCTTTTACAAGCCCCAACTCAGGCTTGGCTTGTTCCCACTTGGGCAATGTGTGGGTTTTCTGGTTAACAGTTCACTTAACGTCATCATAGCTTTTCCTCCTGGTTGTTTCTGCAAAAAACATGCAGGCGATTTTAACAGGCATACTATATAGACAAATTAATGTAGACCTATGAAGGAGGGTCTTGCAACAGGTTCTCTTCTGCCCTTTTCAACACACCTTAGTGATGCCTTCAAATTTTTAAAGTGACTTATTTTGTCACTTGACCCCGATTTTGATTTTCTCATCAGTTGCACTATGATAAGAAATTACACAGGGGTACACACATGTGCATAAAATGAGGGTTCATACAAGAAGAAAAACATTTTATATTAATGTTACCATGCTGAGGTCAAAGAACCTGATTACTGACCAGTTAACATGAAAATATTTCAGGTTTAAAATAGTTTTTATAATAATACCTGTGGCTTCTCAAATATTTCTTCTGTTAAGATAAAAACCCCACAGCTCTTAACAGATTTATTTTATGCACTGACATTAACAAATTTTAATAGAAAAACTGAAACACATACCTCATATCACAGTGGTAAAAATTTATACATCTTATAAAGGATTTTAATTTCCTTATGTAGAGCAGAATTTTACGCATTGCTTTTAATCAATAAAATTGGTGCAGTTCTTATTTTAAAGGGGCCTCTTTTTTAATTTTTTTTTTTAAAGCTGCCTTTTACATAGAATCCAAAAAAACAAAAGGGTCTCCAATTAAGAAAACATTTTCTGTTGTGCTGAATTCATGTTACCGTACTGTGAGCTCTGACATTTTGTTTCTGTGGTAACCAAAATCAGCTGATTAGTTGGCATGGCAACAGAAAAGATGTAATCCCAGCAGACACACTCTAATCAATGCCCCCAGCACAGATGGTCTCCGGAGGATCAACAAGAAAGAGGCTGGCAGGCATTCAGTATATCACGTGGTTGCTCTAGACTAGGCCAGGAAAAAACTAAAAAAGAACATTTCTCAAACTAACCAATAGCTTTTTAACCCCTTCACTGCACTTATTAATTGTAGGAATTTCAACTGCTCGTGCCCATGAAAACCAACCTTGGCCCTGTGCCTTATTGCCCAGAGTCTCGCTCTCCTAACACTGGACATCCTTTAAAACTCTTGCCCTTTTATTAACGGCCATTTCTCAAAACTGACTCTGTGCTTGAAAAGAAACCTAAAGCTTGTACAATTCTTGGAAATGCCTGAGATTGTCAGTGAGGATTAAAATCACTCAATTTCAAGGGCTTCACCTATAAAATCCAGCTGATGGCCCCACTGTTGGGTGCAGGAGGAGAATGGTTCGAATCCAGGGTGCTCACTGCTCTAGTGGTGAAGGCAAAGCTCGCCTCTGCCAATCTATCGGGAAATATAAATACACATCCCTAGCTGCAGAAAAACACTTTACCTACACATAAAGTTGTAGTGTCAGTGAACATGGTGAAAACAGAAACTTAGGAGGACTCCTAAATCCTTCCTTTACCTGGAGAAAAAAAATGAAGCATCTGCCAGGTAAACAAACAGGGTAGTTAGGGCTTCAGTCTCTTCTTTTACCACATTTAAGTCATGCCATTGAACTGTACAGAATTCTTTATACTACTTATTTATACCTTGGTAAAACAATTTCAAAGTGTGTGACACTTCACAAGGACCTCTTGCACTCTAAAGACAAGCTGGACTATTCATAGCGTTACTCTTGGGCATGTTCTAGCCATATTTGTTTGAAAAAAAAATTGGAAATGCCATTTTATATAGTCATCCAATACTGCAGTATGCAGCGAGTTACTCTAACTAGGAAAACGTCGAAATGAATAAAATGCAGCTGTGGATTCCTGATTCAATACGTGAGGAGAACTGTTTCAGCCCATTACATTAGAAGTTAGCAAATTTGTAGCTTACAAGTTGTGAAACTGAAACAGCTATTAACAAATACAGTTAGTTTGTATTTTCGCATTAAAAAACCCCTCTTGTGGTAGTTTCATCGGGCCAAATTCAGACACGATCTAAGGAGCTACACGGTCCACTGGAGTGCTGCTTTCTATGGGAGGTCTGCTCTGTTCCACCACCGATACTGTGGTAGGAGTTTACCTGTGGGTGCAAGATCTGTGCCCTCAGTATCTGCTAGAAGTTACACACGCGCAGCTGAGGAAATGTTTGGCTCTAACTTATTTCTGAGAGCAATGGGCTCTTACTAACACAGTCATATTTTCAACATGCAGCCATTAACCCTCCCTGATTTTCCTCCTAGAATCCAAATCACATCCCCACCTGAACTTTTCCACCAGGATGCAGAGGTTTATATTGGAGTCCGTGACAGAAACATGGGGGCTGAAGCAGGCCGTGCGCTGCCAGGGCTGCAGTGGATGCAGAAGGTCTCACTGTGCACAACAGGACGGTGCCATGGGAGGCGATGGTGGCCCCCCCTCACACGAGGTCTGCACCCAGCCTGGTCCCTGCTGCTGGTGTATCTTTGACTTGCTGGATACTAGTCTCCTTTCCAAAGTTGCAACACTGTAATGTGCTGCTATGATAAGTAAAATAAACTAATTGGAACAAGAAAAGTGTGTTTTGTTTACTGATTAAAAAAAATAATATTTGCTATTGCATTAGAGCTAACACAAAGGGCAATGACAGAAATCGTTTTAGGGAGCTATGTGAAGCAGCAGCTACTGTATATCCTAGTCACGTCCTCTGCACATAGCCAGCGTGCACAACCCCTCACGGCAAAGAGGTGCTACCTAGGAATATCTGGTCTCTTTGCATCTCTCTCTCTCTGCCTCTGTTTGTGTCTGTGTGTCCATGTAAGTCACAAGGGGAGTGGGAGGGCTGGAACGATGACACCATTCAATGCACACCTCCCAGCTCACCAGCGCTCTGCACACCAGCAGCTTCCTCTCCCTCTTCTTTGAGCCCCACTCCAAGAGCCATGAAGCTGTCAGGGAAGATACTATGAAGGGATGGGACTCACATACATGCTAAAACAGCATAAGCCATGTGGTCATGATGCTGTCAAGAGCTGGTGCCTTTTTTGGCTCTAAAACCTCCATGGTCCTGCAGGCCAAGGGCAACATGGATGGATTATCTCCTCCTCCTGTCCCTTCTCCTTTTGCCCTTTTCTCTATGCAAAGGTTAAAATTCATACAGATGAACAGGTACAAGATGGAAAATCATAATTTCATGTTAATTTATTAAAGGGTACATTTTGATTTTGAAAATCAGTTTACTGGTTTTTTTAATATAAGAAAATTTTTGGTTTCATTTTTATTTTCCACCTTTTTTGGTACTGTTTTTTATAAATATCTGGTACTCAGTTTAATTACAGAACTAGAATTGTCCAATGCACGAAGATAATTCACTATCAATTACAAATATTGAATATTCACTAACTGCCTGATCCAGAGCATGTTTAAATCAATTGACTCCTTCCATTGACTTCATTGCCCTTTGGACTGGCATCCTACTGTATTAAATCACTATTTTCCTAGAGATTTATAGTCCTTGGACTGGGTAAGTATCAGATGTAAAGCATACAACCCCAAATGGTAGGTACCAGCAATGTGAAATCTCACTGTTGCTTTAAAATCAAGCCCAGAGAAAAGAAGATGGGCAGGTAGAATTTAATTCATGTACAGCTGGTGGTTCTAGCAACCTGGCATTATGTGCTTCTCTTGCAGTCTTTCTGGGAGAATTGCAGAGGATGCCCACAGAATTTTCCAGTCACATAATGAATATAGAAAATAGTAATTAAATGGCTTCAAGGGTTTTCAGTATTAGAAATAATCTCAGTCTACCAGAAAAATGCAACAGCCAGTATTTTTCACCCTTATACACACTGAAAAAGAAAAAAAAAACCAATAAAAAACCCAAACGAACAACATGCTTTATTGAGTCTTCCCTGTTACCTTGGTAAACATGGGTTTTCCATGCTGAGTGACCATGGTGCATTGATCACAGTCCACTGTGATGGATGAGTTGTGGTATGACTCTTTTGAGTGCTTGAGAATGTAATACAGGTCTGTTACACCTCCTTCAAAGACAGTGCTAAAATAACGAGGAATGAGGGTCCTTCCAATTGCTGTGAGGAAAATACAAAGCAGAATTCAGCAAATGCTCTAGGTTATAAAATCTCAAATCATTTGCTAACAGAACATGAATAATTTTAAGCGCAATGAAATCAAACTTTCATTTAATGAATATAATACATGTTCTCTGTCTGCTGTAGAAATGAAGTTGTGCCTGCTCCCATAGAAATCAATGAAAATGGCTTACTCCATTCAGAGGGAGTGGGCTCATCTTATTTAATCTTTTTACATTGATGGTGAGTTAGAGTCACTCTTGAAACCATCTGCAAGGGGTTTTGTCCCAAAGTAATTATTATACAGAAAGCCACATGGTGTCAATTGTGACTGAAAGTTGGATATTACTCATAAATGTATAAATACAAGTGGTGAGCATTTACAGAAATACATTCATTCACCCAAAAAGGCAAAGCACATTTATATAGGGGCGTTGTGTGCACATATATGTTTGTCTGTGTGTGGGCACATGTATATTTATATATACCCACCCACACATACACGCACACGTGCACACACACTCTTGATTGAATAGGAGAGCTACTGCTGAGAAATCAGAGTCCTGGGGATAGAAGAAGGACCCGAGAATGCAATACGATATATGTTACACAATATATGACTACCCACAGGTCTATCTGAGATCTCTCTTTAGACCAGAAGTGTTTATGTCACGGGCTAGAAAGTCTGAGCAGACACCTGAACTAGCTGACATGCACCACTTAAGCCCCGAACTATGGACTCAAGGTACCCAGTTCTGCAATATTTACTCAGTCAAAACTCTCACTGAACTCACACCTCTCACTTCAATAGCAGTTGCAGGTAAGTGCTACAAGGTCTAACTCCAAATCCTTAACAGTAATAGTGAGCTTCTGGCTCTATTTCAGACACACAAACTAGCAGAAGCACCGACATCAAAGGCAGTTATCTTGTATGCAACTGATGCTTTCCATCCCCTTTTTTACAGATAAATTTGGGTGCAACCACAAGCCTGGTATGACAGAACACTTCATTTTATAATAGACTGATACTTCCATACCAAATGACTCATTGCTTTGCATGCATTAATCAATCCACAGTAATTCTGAGTGGTGGATACATAAAAATTGCCTCCATTTTACAGAGGGAAAACCCAAGAGATCTAAACTGTTTTGGAAGAATGAGACAGAAAAGTCCCCATCAACAGGCAAGATTAGAGTTATTAGTTCCTAATTCTTATTTGTCTATTAGGACTATGCGGTGACTCATGCCTCCCTCATTTGCTGTACACTTTCAAGAGTAATTTCTAAAAAAAATTATTTTCATAGGAATTTTGCCAGTATATGAACAAAGGCTCCTGACCCTAAAAATGTATTTGCAAGTGGGTGTTGTAAATTAAAAAGTATGGCGTTTTCACAGTACTTCTGTGAAAACTGTTTCTGCTCTGTGCATTACAATGTGGAATATTGCATGTGCAGTCATAACACACATTATATAATGAAAATATACAAATATAGAAAATTAGGACTTGTTAAAGCTTTTGCTGTAATATTAGAGATTAATATAATTTAATGTACAAAAATATACCACACTCTCTGGAAGTGGCTGACAATTCAATGAATACATTGAACAAGACTATTCTGTGACTCTAGTGCCTAAAAAAACCCACCCACTCACCATGCATATATTAATTTTCTACAGTCTTCTAATTTAATTTAGAAAAACTGAAGTCCAGTGTATCAGCATAGGACTCAACTCAGGCTTTAACTCAAATTTTTCCATGTTGGTATGGTATATAGTAAAACGTGCAATTTACCCATCAAGTTAATTTCTTGCTCCCCTAAGGCTAATTAGTGCAAATTAAATTTCCTGCTAATCATCCTAAGCAGCAAATGTGTGATATGAAAATCCAGCATTCCTACTGATTGTGATAAACCTCTATTCATGTGACTTATGCACTGCATAAATATCTTGAAACTATTTTAACTGCAGTTTATAGACCATTCCTAAAGTAGCATGGTCATATGGTGTGGCTTTTTGCCTTGTATTCACAGCTACAGCACATGAAAGAAGGCTAGAAATATATTAACCACCTTATACTTATTGCTTTTCCCAGTAAGCATTATCTATGCTTGCCACAGGGATATGCTACTGTGAACAACAAAGTGGGGGACCAAAAGGATGAAGAGGAATAGAGGTGCACACAAGGATATGCCCCATGGAACCTGATTTTCAACAACAGATGCACATGCAGACCCTGTCTGCCTGTAAAATTGAAATCAGCTAATGCAAATGTCCAGCATAAACAAGTATAGCTAATATTCACTTCCAGAAGAAACATTCACGGAAACCTGCATTAATAAGCAGACCTGTCCTCAGCTCATCACGTTCCCTTGCCACAGAAGACTGAAGCTGTTTCAAGGTTTTGGTTCTCTTCCTGAAGCACTCAATGGCTTAAAAAGATCATTTAATTTCTAGGATAAATATGAAACTCTCTACAGCAGTAATAAAGCTTATTTGTGCAGGAGACGGTATTTCCAAGAACAACAAAAGGCTGTGGAACAGCTCTTATAAAGTCTAGGGATCATCACAAACCTTGTGTACTTGAAGTGTGAAGGGCTTTTCCTTGACTGTTTTTCTCCTCCAAAACATAACTGTGTATGTGAGCATTCAAGCACATACATGCGTGCACCCCCAGGTCTGCTGCGTGCATACATACAATCCTTTCCTGGGCATAGGAGTATGAATTGAATCACAGAATCATAGAATTGTTTAGGTTGGAAAAGACCTTTAAGATCATCAAGTCCAACTGTTGACCTAACCCTGCCATCCCACCACTGAACCACTAAACCATGTCCCTCCCAGTTACTATTCCTCTCCCCTCTCCCACATCAGTGTCATCTTGCCCTGATTTATTCCCTTCTATTTTCTTTCCTCTTATTCCTTCTTCTTTCCTCCACATTCAGGTCAAGTTGGTTCTTTTGCAGGGCCACCTGGATCCCAGCTGCATCCTCCTGGAGTGCAGGAGAAGGACGGACCTCCTGTTCTCGCATGCAGCACTGGCTGAGCCTTCCCTGCGGACTTTGCAGTGGAAATGTCCACAAGTCCACATAGCCCTGAGCTGACAGGTCTAGCTACTCTTTGCAGCTGGCATGTGGATAGCCCCACTGGGCTCCTACAAGGAGCCTTACTACGTTCCTGGGAAAGGGAGTCCATGGAAGTTTTAGCTGTCAAACTCTAGTAAAGCCTGCACTGAGTACTTGAGAATAGGTGCTTTTTTCCCCCAAGAATGGGTGCTTTTTTCCCCCAAGTATTTATACATTTGCTAAATTCAGTCAGATTTCCACAAAGAGGACAAAAGGGAAACCCCGGCCACAAAGGTGAGCAACCCTACTCCAGAGCGTACAGATTCTTGGGCATTTGAAAAACAAAATTGCAAGATTTTTGTAACATGGACAAAACGATATTTGTCCATTTGGGGGGAAAGGAGAATCCTTTTTGGCTCAAATAAAAAAAGAACTAGCTAAAAGCAAAACCAATTTCACCCTTATTGGGTCAAGTTTGGCAAAATTATAAATAAGTAGAAAGAAGACTTTTTAATGGGACTTATCAAACAATATTAATAAGAGATGGTATATCATCTGCCTGCAAGAATACATTGGAATAGCCACGACTACAGAAGCTGAGTCTCTGAGCCCAGTACTCAGGCTTAGGAAAGCAGACGTAGGTTCATACCTGCATCTACACAAATACTAACAGGCTCTTCCAGTCACATTACCCAGAAAAGACCTTTTAACAGTGTGAAATGTGACACCCAGCATTGTAAGATACTGGATATACTAGAAGGAAAATTCACCTGCCCCTCAGCATTCAGGCATTAATTCCAGATCACTGGAATGCTGCTTTAAATTATCATTTTGTCCTGGGCAGCATCCTTCATCCCTAGCTGAGTATCTGAGGATGTACAATTTCCCACTCAAGGCAGGCACTGCCCCTTAACGTTGGCTTCATTTGTGCTAGCAAATCCCCAAACAGCAAAGCAAACTAACAAAGATCAGCTGGATTTAGCAACAGGTAACAGTTATTTTTATGAAAATGTCTATAAGAAAGACATATCTGAAGTGATGACTGTTTTGCACAAAATATAATGCTGTCATCCACTGGAATGATGTACCTTTAGCCTATTCAGTGGTGTAATGGCTTGGCTACATGTGATTTTGTGTACCTTTCTGGTGGATCAGAGACCTAAATACAATTTTAGAATTGAAGTAAGACAGGTAGATTTGTGACACTCCCCCAAATGTGAGTGGTCCAGAAATCAGTTAATTCAATCTATGAACATAGGCAAGAAGCTTCATAGGTCAGTAACAGTTATATTATATATAACTTCTTAAGAATCATTCCTGGGGAATTCTAAAGAAAAGAATGAAACCATCCGACACATTAAATCACCCAAGGCCTGACTCTTGGGGAAGGAGGCACTTGGGTCATGCTCCTCTTTTTTGGCCTGGGCATGCAACAGTAACGATTCGTGTGCCCCTCTGTCATCCTGATCCTAGCAATCCTTATTTTCATGCTGTCTTTTCATTTATTTTCCCTTCTAATATGTTTGCCTGAGTTTAAAATACTTTATTCTCTCAGGAATATGTTTAAGTCTAAAACTATTTTTCCTTCCCAAATTGAGCCAGAAAGTCCAACAATCTAGGTGGGAATGGCCATAATTTGTGAAGTTCAGGGTTTTTGTCAGACTCAGACTAGCCATAGGCAGAAAGCCAGTTAAAAAAATAGTTTGTAATGTAATTGTGGTACCACCACACACCATGTGGTGGTGATGGTACTGCTGGCTTTTTTTTTTCTCCCAAGGAAGATCTGAATAAAATAGAAAGTAAACATGTTTTTCTAGTTCACAGGAAACTGGTATTATTTGTGGGCTAGGAATAGAAGAACACTTCCTCCCTTTGTGTCCCAAAGATAGGCTGTCAAAATCTCAATGCTCTCTCTACAGAATGAAGGTTCACGGCCT